TGAAAAGTGGATAAAATTGTTATTTACGGTACAGGTCTTACATAAAATGTGTTTCCTGACCTATGACGTTATTTTTGATAATGAAAGATTTGTCTTAATTGTTTAAGAGAAAACTTAATGTTGTAAGACATTGTCAATTGTATTTATTTATATTATGGCTCACACACATCTGCTTGTATCAGAAAGGATTGAGTAAGCTATATTACTAGTAAACTTTATGCAAGAAAGCACTCATTTTTTGCATGGTATGTAGTGTAGAATCCTGTTTTCTGTTATACAACGTTAAAGCGTCGTGCGATTTGAAACTACAAATTAATGACTTTCTAAAAAGATTATTATTAGTAGTAGTAGTAGTACTAGTAGTAGTAGTAGTAGTACTAGTAGTAGTAGTGGAATTCTGCAGATATTACAAATACCAAACTAACTACTGTCTTTTACTATGAATCTAAAGAGGGCGATTCTACAAGATTTGCTATCAACTTATTATTACAATATTTAAAAGTATTTTGTACTTATAGACCTGGACTGCTTCTTTTATAACTAGTCAAAAGTAAACAATTGAAAATTATGAACAGTAATAACAAACTTGCGTTCAATACAAAATTATAAAATAATATTTGAATCAAATGGATTGATTTATGTAAATGGAAAAGAATGTCATAATTTAATTTTTCTGTTTTCCACTTATGTTCAAATTTTTATCAGATATTTTTTTTAAGTATCATGTTTGTTCCTTTGTTCAGTGATCACATTCTTTACACCCTGTAAAAGCTTGTCTGTTCCTTACCTACAAATCCACGGTATAGCAGCTGTGGACAGAATAAGAAAGAAAGAAAGAAAGAAAGAAAGAAAGAAAGAACGAACGAACGAACGAAAGAAAGATAAAGGAGGCGATAACGTTCTCATGTGTTTAATGTCTGCTTCAGCGAAATGGAAAACCACGCACATAATAATAAGAACGAAAGGGAAGATAGGGGAGGTTTGGCATCTACAGGAAATAAAAAAACCTTGTCAATTTTTAATCTTTTCATTTGTACCCTCTTACTTCTTTAAACAATGACCTGTATTTAATACTTCCGATTGCAATATTTTCTTAAAGTTCTTATGCTCAAATATTTAAAGATGCAACAGGAGGAACTTCCACAGCTATTTTGTAATTGTGGAATTTGTAAAGAGATTGTTTCGCTCGTTACATTAAGAATGAGGATTTATCAGAAAAACAGCAAAACACTGAAATTTTCACGAGCACTGCTAGTGAAGAAATAATTGTTTTTACACGAAGTTTTATGAGAGTACATATCTATTCTCTGACCTTTTCCCATATTATTATTGCTTTAGGCTATCACAATCATCGTCATGACTGTCATCTTGTGCTAGTGTTTCTAATATATTCGCAGGGAATGTGTGTCAAGTGTCATCAGTCTATCACCGAGTTCTTGATTTGGCATTAACAACTGAGTATGTCAATTCATATGGTTAGCATTTTCTTCACACCAATGTTTGTCTTATAATATTTTGTAGTGGATTGTAACAGTTTACATCTGTCGCCAAGAAAAAAAAAAAGGTCACATAGGCTTATGATTCAAAAAATCTTTTTCAAATAGGTCAAGTTGTGCATCTAATGTGACACTTTACATCTAAAACCTTCCATTAAAAACTTAAATATAAGATTGAATTCACTTTGAAAAAATCATTTTACATTCTTTTGCATTCAGTATCCCTTCAATCAGTTCTTGGCTAAATTTTGTGTTAAACCAATGAACTCCAATAAATGATTACAGTCATTTCAAATTACCAAATGGAATTTTCTGCAATGGATAACGTTTGGTTATTGCAATAATTTTACTTTTATCATAACATGTACAATGCCTTTTGAATCACTTGTCCACCCAAAATCATACCAGGGTATACTTTGCACCCTGTGTCACATCAGTGAAGCCAGGTGCATCGACGGATTTAGTTGACATATGACATCCTGACCAACAAGTGAAGATTTGCGCCTCAGTGGATGCCTCGACATGTTAAAAAGTAGCAGGAGAGCGCGTAAGGAAGAACTGCATGGCAGAGATAGATATATAAACATTAACCCTAGAGGAGAGAGAGGACAGTCTCTTTCATTGTGCAAGAGAATGTAAGGTCTACCTTTAGATGAAGGCCCTGGGTTGCATGTACCTACTAACCGGTAATAATTAACGAAGTCTCGATTTGAATAAATACGTATGACGGCATAACGATAATATTGCTCATTGATATGAGCAATATTAACTAAGCGTTAATCTCACTAGAACTTTTTCACTTTTCTTAACAATGACTTCTCTTGTGATGGCCTGTCTTTCAAGCTAGTTTTCTATCAACATTTAATTCAATTTTAGCAAAAGTATCTCGGACAAATTTTGTTTTGATTCTGCTAACAACTTGAATCAGCCATAAACCTTCATTTATTCTCTTTCGCACAATTTCTTTCATTTTTTTTTATTTTAAAACAAAGACAAATCTAAAGTCTTTAGAATTTAAACTCTTTCATTTTGCTTCTGTCTCTGATTTGAACATAAAGTTCTTTTATCATTATTATTCTCTTTTCATTCGAACAAGTACCTTCATCTTCGTTTTTTATACTCACAAAACAATTAAGGTAAGGATACTCTTCCAAATGTTAAGGAATAATGACTCATCTAAAAATTTCTGACAAGTTCTTTTCCCATTTCGTCACAGTTTTGTCATGAGATGCAGCAGCATGATCGGATTTGTTGTTAAAAGTACAAGAAATGAATTTACTTTGACATTTTTGCATCTTGATTAAATTATCCAGCTTAACAGAGTAAACCAAATTTATTATCTGAATTTGAAAGGATTTCAAAGTCATATTTGAGTAGAAATATTTTTTGAAAATAAATTCAGTGCTTTACACAAGCTTTTTGCTATTGTTGAGAAGTTTTATATGCAAATGATATTTCCTGATTTAAACGTTACCCCATTGTGAATAATTCGTGAAATTGTAATTTTCTAAGTTTTTCTTGAATTGTACATGTCCAAATTCATGTAAAGAATTAGAGAAAGGCAAGAACTTCGAAGATATAGGTTAGAAATTCGGTTAGTTCAACTACATATAAACATTTCTCACAGGACCAGTAACACAAAATAAAAAAGCGGGCGGTACGAAATTAGATGTTAAAGGTGGGGGATAAGTAATACATTAATATTCATGATTCCTGATTATATATATATATATTTTTAATGGAAATTTTTTAGATCTATTATAATATAGTAAACATTTTTTTGCAATTTTAAATTCACATTTTCGTTGCTCGTTCGTATTTATTTTGTGGAATGAGATATATAGATGTTTCTGCGTTTAACACTTTTAAAGAAAGTTTATAAATTAATGTTTTTAATAAAAAGGATGATGAAGTTTTATTATTTATTTGAAAATGAATGTCAGCAATATTTTAATGCAAATCTCAATAACAATGTCATAGACTGAGGCCAAAAAAACAAAGATAATATTCTTATTAGTTTTTAGGTCTACCAAAAAGTGATGGAGCTACAGTAACCGTTTGGGATTCCCTATAGTGTACTGTTGATAAATCATATCTTTGTCAGAATTAACTAAGTTTTTTCTTCTGTTTTGAACTGAGATTTCGTTGTGGTATTTTGATTGCTGTTGCTGCGATTTTCATGGCTGTCATTGTTTATATGTAATTGTTCTATCCGGTTTGCCAGAGTCAAATTAACACGAAGGTCAATCGTACAAAAGAAATATATCACAATCTCCAGGTCTTTTAAACAGACGCAGAGGTTTATCCCTTCTTTCCTGTTTAGGATTCGGTTTCCAGTTCCTTCTAAAGTCTACTTCAGCTCTATACTTCTAACGCTTGTCATTTCCTACGCTAATATAACTCCAACGAGTATCTCCCTACATTGAGTAGCTCTTGAGCCTTGTATTGGATGATATTAGTAAAGAAAAGTCTGAGATTACTTTTTACTTGACCTACTGATTTTATTTGATGGGGAGGATTTAAAGCGCCCCCCTTTCCTTTGACGTAGCACAATCATCATCGTCAGTCATCAAGTTATTCACCTTAATTTTTACTGGCCTGTCAATTTATATGCTTCTTCACTGAAAACCCCAATTAAACTTAATCCTAATAACAAAATCTCTTCATCTCATTATTCTCTCTTTCTCTCGCCATCGCCATTTCTCCCCGCCATCCCCCACTGCACTTATTAGGAAGATCTAAATGTGATGCTTTAAATTTGATTAATGCGATATCATTTGGATCAAAGGATAAATCGTTGAGGATTTAGTCTTGTTAACATTGCACACACACACACAAATATACGCACACACATATATATATATACACACACACATAGGCACGCACTTGCGCACACACGTCTTATTATCACCTAAGTTAACTGTATTTGTATATATATTGTCAGTAAAATCTACAAATCTAAATATCGCTAGTGTCTGGGAATGGCAAATTCAGAGTTATCTCTCTTTTACTAGCGGCACCAGCAGGCAGTGCATTTGGTATGAAAATGGTGTACTGTTCGAATATTTTATGAAAATGGGAGGTAACTCCGCGAAAAAGTATAACAATAATAATTGGTAAAATATATTTAAAGATTGACATGTAAAAAAAAATTTAATTAATAAGAAAATTAACAATACTTTACATAATATTTACGCTGCCCCCATATATATATATGTGTGTGTGTGTGTGTGTGTGTGTGTGTGTGTGTGTGTGTGTGTGTGTGTGTGTGTGTGAAGAAAGGTTTTGGTGGAATTAAACAAGATAAAAACAGATGAACGAAGGAAAAAAAGAAAAGAAAAAATATAACTTTAAAAAAGAAATGCTGATGATGAAAGAGGAAAGCAACGTTGAAAATCTTACAAAAATACTGTGGTCGTTTATTGAACCCCAAGATAAATAAGAGAATAATTGGTGACAGAAGGACAAAAAAAAAAATCCCGTAAATTAGGAACAAAGTTTCTCTTAAGGGATCTTTAAGAATATAATGGAGAAAGAAAGAAATTGTTCTCGACATAGAAAGAAAGAAAGAAAGAAAGAAAGACAGACAGAAATAAAGAAAGAAAAAGAAAGAAATGGTTTTCGACATAAAAAGAAAAAATGATTCTCAACATAGACAAAAAGAAGAAAGAGAGAAAGAAATCGTTTTTTTATATAAAAAGGAAGGCAGAAATGGTTCTCGACATCGAAAGAAAGAAAGAAATGGTTCGCGACATAGAAAGAAAGAAATGATTCTCGACATAGGAAGAAACAAAAAAAGAAAGAAAAAATGAAAGAAATGGTTCTCGGCATAGCAATAATTGTCAAATGGATTTCAGTAATACACACAATATTTTAGAGAAAAAGAATCAGAAGATTTGATATTGGAAGATAAAAAAGCTAAACGGAGAGAAAATGTTAAATGCTGATTATAAAGGGGAAAGAGAGAGGAAGAGGAGTAGGGGTAGAGTAGCACTTGAAAAATATGATGGTTCAAACTAAATGATTCTAATGAAATAGAGAAGGAAGGAAACCTGTGGGGTAAGGGGAGAATAAAGACAGAAATAAACGAAGAAGGAGGAATTTTGTTGCAATTATACATTTCCTTTTTTGTTAACACGGTGACATGTGAGGTTGGCGAGCATGCTCCGAAGAGGCTCATGTGAAGTTGAGGGTCACGTGTTACGCGATTAGACTGAACAGATTGGGCGAATATCTTGATCGCATTCAGGATGGATTCGCACGTAGTCAGGGGGCGGGGACGAATAAGCAACTGGTTAACAGTTTAATCAGATGAATAGGAAAAAAAAAAGAAGAAAAAAGCTGTCCAACTGTGCAAATGGGTTTCGACACACTCTTCTTACGATCTAAAGATCTTCTACGAACATGGCAAAGCATTCAATCATTTATTAAGATCTACTCAATTACGTACATTTACTTGGAAACATTAAAATAATTGAACATCAATATCCAGACATACATATACAAATATATGAATAGTTTATACATACTATAATCCCTTATAACATATATATATATATATATATATATATATATATATATATATATATTCTGTTGTATGGATATGATTTTGTGACCCTGGGTTTCACGCTTTTGCGATCATCAGACAAACTGGTTTATTTTTTAAAATTGGATCTATTTATGCTCGTACAGAAGAAAATATTTGAACGCGTATTGAGTAGCACGGAAGAAGAACAAGGAATGTCCATTCGAAGAAGCTCTTTTCAATTGAATTTCTCTCGGGGACATCATTATACCGCATTATGAGTAGAGATTTACACCAGTGTCCTTACAAAATCCCCTTAGTACAGGAAATAAAGCTAAGAGATTATGAGAATCGGTTTAACTTAGCTCGAGCTGCAGGTAAAATGTTTTCAAGGTGTAAATTTACCGCAAGATTTCGATGCTTTCACTGCATATCTAAATGTAAAAACCAGTATCAAAATGAAAACTGATTTCTTCTTTAATTTGATCAAATCAGAGCTAGTTTAGGGTCAATAAATGAGCACAGTTTCAGGTTTGATTTCTGTTTATTTTCTCTTTTGTAATTTTCTTAAATTCGAACCAAAATTGAGATTAAGATTTTTCAATCCTGTCTTGTGAGTAACAACCGCAAAATAATGGCAATAGCTTGAATAGTTGAATAACGTTTGCATAAACGAATTAATCAACTAGTTCGCTATAATTTTTTTCGATGAAATTACAAACGCGTACATTTTCAATAAAACAAAATGTCTCCTGGTTAATTGCAAAATGCTCACACTATAAAAGATGCGTAGGTAAATTCAAAAAATTCAAATGAGTTTTTATCATTTTGTCATTCTAGTCAGTTATTCTTTTTTCAGTGATAAAGAAATGGAATTTTTTTTTTTATATATAAATTGGAAAGCAGAATCATTCCGGCCAGTTAGTATTTTCAATGATAAAAAGGAAAGATTTTCTTTTTTCTTAAACAGGAGATAAAGTTTTCAGAGATTTTAAGAAAAGTTGCTTTGTAATTTGTTTCCGGATAAAAAACAAAATGTCGAAATTGGATTTTTAATCGTTTGTTTTATTCATTTACATTTCTTAATTCACTAAAGAATCGAAAAACGCTACAAGAATTATTTATTTACTTTATGTTAATTATTCTTGAATATTCTTTTTCTAAAAGACACGAGTTATATGTCGGTGTGTTTTTCTTTCTATTTTCCGTCGAATATCATCAATTCAAATGCTTACTCTAAAGTTATAGTGTGCAACACAACATTCCATATCAGAACTAGATTGAGTAATAGTATTCGAAATTACTAAGACGAAGCATTGTCAACAACAACAACAACAATAATAATAATAATAATAATAATACAGAGTCGAGATTATAGTATCATTGTGAACTTCAGGATCTTGTTTATGGCTGTACACTATATACTAAGCTATGGCTACATACGGCTTTGAATTCAGAGTTGTCCTTCTAAACTGGTTGCCAACCACGGCTAGAGTTTTCCCTGTTAGTTAACTTATAGCTACAAAAGAACGTAGATGGATCCAAACCTTAAGATGGCAAACATTAATCAAACTCGACTGAAATTCAAATTCGGCTGTTTTATTTTTTCATACTGAACCATTGCACCACTTGCATTGTCAAATATTGTTTCTTTTCATGTTAATTATATAAAATATACTTGGTTTTTTCCTAAATACATGCCTCAAAAGATCACCTTGCATCTTATAACGAAGTTTAGGGCTCCCCGTAGGCTCATTTTATCTCTAACGCTCACTACCGTAAGTTATAATTTTACTTCTGATCTTCTACTTAGTTCGACTTCGTAATAATATTATTTGCACAAACGATATTATTATTATTATTATTATTATTGTTACTGTAAAAGGAATTATCGTAACAATGCACTGGCGACGTTCGTCGGCACCAGCGGACAAATCATACCTAAATATACACATTTTCCTGTTATTAACCAGCTAAAAACTACAAAATAAAGAGATATAACTTAAAGAAAATACCTCTAATGGTAAAACACTAACCTGGAAAACGATATTGAGTGTACAGAGAAATATGTTCATCATACGAAGGAGACTAAACAAGAATGAATAGTGAAGAGTGAATATGTTTACATTGTGGTTTCTTGCTTTAAGCTCATCTGTACTACGATTCTGGCTTTTTATATACAGACATGTGTTCTGCTTTAGCTAAAGTGTTTTTAATTCTTTGTAATACGCGGATATGTTGCTTTAAACATTGCATGCTTAAATACATTAAAATCTTCTTTCTGAATATGCTACGCTGAAATGGGGGGGTGCATCTAATGCCCGTATATTTTTCATGCCATAAAATGCATTACTTTTATTGCAACTTTCAGATGTTCATGTCACAGTTTAGTCTTTATCTTTGATCTACGTTGTTTACTAACGATTGTAGAATGACGATCTTAGGGATGAGATAAAAAGGAAACTTTTCTTTTTTTGTTGATTTTCACCCTATACCAGGCCCAAAAGCCACTCGATGAAGAGGGTTACTAAAGGACTTTTTTGTGTGACTGGAAATAGTAAGTGGTAAACGGCACAGTTTATGAGGATGTGTGGGCAAGATAACGGTTAACCCTAGAGTTGAAGAGGTTACTACAATAAAGATAAAAGAAACACTAGTAAAAATGATAAGAGTTATAGTGGGATCGTTTAGTACAACAAGTATATCTTCAAATGAGATTGTGCCAAGGCTGGCCAACTCTCAATAGTTTCGGAAACAAAGAAGTAACGCACAATTGCTTTTGCTGGGATATTTGCAAATATATTCATATAAATCGATAATACATTGACTTAGAATTCAGTAAAAGTGCTGGTAAAAATCTTTTTCATCAAATTGATTCTGTATTCGTTCGGATCTTCTGTTGTAGAGTGATAAACTAATTGTACATGTTATAACCAGTATACGATCTTTGTGAATGTATATTATACTGAATTAAGATTAATAAATATGTAGGGAATTTAATTTTGATTGAACAATTTGCAAGATTTGTTGTATCAATTCTTCCAAATCCTTTTACCGGCCTTGAAAAACATCAAAATCCTTCCTTTTACCTGAATTCGTTCACTGACCTATGCAGTGAAAGAAAATACAGATGACTCTCAAGTACGAGGCAGGCTTCACATATAATTATTTACTGAGTACAACAAAAAAACTATTGAGAGAAAATGGAAGCAAAAAGAGTGTTCATTTTCCATGTAAATAAACCTAATAGTCTTGAAAATCAGCATTTGAAATCCTGGCTCAATTATCAAATTCTGACACATATTTTATTAAATTTATGTTTCCTTTTATATTTTATTTTTATAAGATTTTATTCAATTAGTTTTCTATTCTCTTTTTTATTTCCTTCTTTCCTTCTATTGAGAGATTTTTTTAAAAAGAAGGTTCCTAATGAAATTTTTACTTATAAGAAACAATATTGAATTGTGACTGATATCCCAGTGTCAATATGAAAATTGACAAATACCAAAGTCTAGCTAAAAAGCTTTACAAGGACGTTGTTTAGATCCGCGGCTTAACGTGTTAAACTCGAAAGTTACAAAGTAGTAGTTAATCTTTTAACATTATGTCACGGACACAAAATACTTATATATGTCCATATTTAGCAAAAAAAGAAAAGAAAAGAAAAAAAAACTAAAACATATCTATCCATAACCACGTAATCATATCAAAAATATAAAAATATACAAAAACATAAACCTAATAATTGAGTTATATGTTTATGTAGATATTAATAATTATGATATTTATTGTTTATCTGTTTATTATACGAATTCATAAAGAAATGCTCATAAAACAGACGAGACCTAGTAGAATATTGATAATTATTAAATATTAGGGGAAAATTTCTAAGTAACGTCTTAGTAAGATGACAGGGTCGTTTCGTCCATAACCTGAAAACATCTACCGGGTAGAAGAGAGAGGCTACTGAAATATGAAAAAGATAACTAAATGCTAAATCACCGACCACCATATTTAACAAATATGAATCCAATTCATATAATCAGTTATAAACTACTCGAACTACAGTTGGTTTTTTTTCCTCCGATATAGTTTTATTTGATGTAATTCCATGAATAGAAAATAGTCACTAACTCATTAGTGACTATAGTAAATGGCTGAAAACTTACTTAACCTCTACTAATTAATATTAAATAAGGCCTCCTTGGAGTAGTTGTAAGAATAAATTTTTTGATTATTATAAGAGCTATTTTAATAACTTATTTGGCGATTGGGTATGCATCTTATTTTAATCTCAAATAAATAAGAATAAGAAATTATTTTTACACTGAATGTAATATTTTAGATATGAAAAGTTCACTCAAAAGAGAGAATCTATCTATCTATCTATCTATCTATCTATCTATATATATATATATATATATATATATATATATATATATATATAGAGAGAGAGAGTGTGAGATGGAGAGAGAGAGGGAGATAGAGAGTGTATGTGTGTGTGCGCGTGAGAAAGAGAGAATTAATACAAATATATTTGTCACTTACCTTCAGCATCCCGACTCCAGAATTTCGTAGTCGAAACCTACACACACACACATATATATATATATATATATATATATATATATATATATATATATATATATATATATATATATATATATATATATATGTATTTTTAAATAAAAAGAAAGAACAGTAAGATATATAATCCGGTGTTCTTATAGATATTTTTATTTTTACAAAATAGTGCTCAATGTAAATTTACAGAGCTTTAATATTATAAATTAATTGATTTAAAATATGGTTTCAAAAATTTTTGAAACATGCTTAGAACTGTGTAGCGGAAAAAACATATTTTAAATCAATTTATTTATAATATATATATATATATATATATATATATATATATATATATATATATATATATATATACAGGTGCGAATTGTCGTCTAAATTACGAAAAAATGAAAATAATACTGAAATCACATTTTAAGATATATTTGCCAAAATTACAAAAAATTACACAAAAATATCTTGAAATACGAAAGAGTAAATTTATTCAATAAAATCACTACTGGCTTCAACCACGGCCTCCAGTTGACTTCGGAATCTCCTGCAACTCTTCTGGACGGTCTCCTTGCTTAAGTTGGTGAATGCTGCTATGATCCCTGCCTTCAGTTCATCTTTGGTGTTACAAAGAGTTTTGTTGGTCTCTCGCTCAACTGTGCCGCACACATAATAATCAAGGGGGTTGAAGCCTCCTCATGTAA